TTCTATTTACTTGCTTCTTGACATCCTTTATATTCTCTTACTTGTTGATTAAAGATTCATCAAACTTATGATCTTTTGTCTTCGACAGGAATCCAATAATGTCTGAAACTTTCTCTTTTCTAAGTATATCCAGAATCTTCTAATAAAGAGATTCATCTATATCCTGGATGTAGGTTAGCATCTCATATAAATCTTCCTTCATTTAATAAACTTCTTCAGATTCTTCTTCTTGATTGGCTTAAATTCTACAATAACAAATAAATACTTACTTAATTAATGATTGGATCTATTGGATTCCTTAGTTAGACTTCTCAATAAAAGCCTTTATATGTTGGTCCCACCAGCTCTTGGTCTTATCTAACCCCTTCATATAAGAATTCTTCGAAGCATTCCAATCTATTAAAGTTGTTCCTTCTACAATGTTGACTAATTTTTCTATATCAGTGTAGGAGGATTCAGCTAGATTCGTATTTTCCTTGATGAGATTTAAGTAAGATTGGTTTTCGTTATCAATCCAATCGTATACTTATTAGATTGATTGTGACAACTCCTCCCAAATTTTCTTCAACGTTTAATCGGTTTGAGAGATTAAGGATTTGATGGCCATTCTCTATTTTGTTAACTCTGAGTTATCATCAAGCTTGGAGTCTTTTAATTTCTTGATGGCCATTTCTTGAAATATATCAATTGGAATGGCATATTTCAAATCCAATCCGTGTTCATATAGGCATTTTACACAAAGTTTCCTTTAGCATTAGCACTTATGAGGAGCTACACATATCAAAGATATTGGACTGTTGATATGATAAGTGCAATTCATTATTTTTAATATTGAATTTCTATTACTCTAACTTTAATTTAAATACTGCAAAATCGCTAAAAGTATCTTGTGCATTTCTGTAAAATAGAAGTTAGGACTTTGCGTAGATATGGAATTGATTTTAGTGGATGTTACTGATACTATTTAGAATTCATTTCAATACCTGCATTACTAGATTTTTTAATAATATAGAAAATTTTTATTTTATTGGAATATTGTAACATATTATTTATATAATCATTATTTTAAGATTTTTAT